ACTGGCCATCAGAGAAATGCAAATCAAAACCACAATGAGATACCATCTCACACCAGTTAGAATGGCAATCATTAAAAAGTCAGAAAACAACAGGTAATCTTTGTATTTTTATTAGAGATGAGGTTTCACCATATTACCCAGGTTGGCCTCAAACTCCTGGGCTCAAGCTATCTAACCATGTTGGTCTCCCAAAATGCTAGGATTACGGGTCTGAGACACAGCCCCCAACCTTCATTTTCTTCTTTGTCAATGCCTCTGAGCTACACTGTTCTGAAAGTTAGCTTACACAGTGCATATAGTTATTCTTTTCTCCTTCTCTTAGGGTAGTGGCTAAGAGCCTGACCTTTGGCATCAGATGCCTGGATTCATTCCTGGCTATGCAACTTCCTATTTGTGTGAACCAAGCTACTTACTTTTTGTGCCTCAGTTTTCTCACTTCTAAATATAACTTCTAAGAGCCCCTATCTCAAAGGCTCCTGTAAGGGCAAAAAAAAAAATTCATTTGCAAATCTCCCAGACCTGTGTCTTGCACGGAGTAAACATCAAAAAACGTTAACTTTGATTAATATCATTATACCTACTTAAAACACATAATAAGGTCAAATATACATATATATTTGCCCACCAAGAATAAATACTTGAAATGTAGAATAACATTCTCTTTATTGATAGTTTTTTCTGTTTTTTTTTTTTTTTTTCTTTTTTGTTCTTGTTGTTTTGAAATGAGATCTTGTAGTATTGCCCAGAGTGGTTTCAAATTCCTGAACTCAGTTGATCCTCCCGCCTCCCAAGTAGCTGGGACAACAGGTGTGTGGCACCATACTTGGCCATAGTTTTTTAAGATTTGATATTTTAATGTATTTTAAAAACTCATTAAGCTTTGCTACTTATGTTATCCCTGGCTTGAAATTGCTTCATTGTGTCTCTCTAATTTTCAAAATCGAGAACAAAGGACAGCAGGTACTATATGATTGGGACACCATTCATCTCACTTTGTTTTATATTTTTACATTGTATTAATGTTTCTTTCTCAAATAATACCAATAATCATATATTCTGAAATTTCTAATGTTAAAATGTAAAATTTACAAATAAAGCAAAACTCCCCAATGCAAACTACTCTCAAACTTAGTCCTCTCTCCAAAGGTACTACTGTACTCAGTTTTGGGCATTTCCATCATGTTGGCATTAATATATAGAATTTAGCTCCACAAAGCACCAAGAGTGTAGTGGGTGCTATCTCAGGTGCTTTACATGTAAAAAAATTATTCAGTACTCACCATAACCCTCTGGGATAAGTAGGTAAATGCTTTTATTATCTCTTTTGTATAAAAGAAGAAACTGACACTCAGAGAGGTTAAGTAACTTTCCCAAGGTCACACAGCTAGTGAAGGGTTGAGCTTAGACTCAAATCAGACTGGTCTGTTTCAACTTTACCCTTCTAACCACTACACTCTTTTGTCTCTCACCACCTTATACAGGTATTTGGTATCATATTACAGCTAAATGGTTCTACAACTTGCCTTTTTCATTCAGCAACACATTATGAAAAGCTTTCCATATCAGCACATATCTCTGTTTCGCTTAAAAAACAAACACTACCACCAGACAAGAAAAATCTACATTGTATTCAATAGGACAAATTCTGTATCAATTCTCTAGCTCCTGGACAGATTGTTTCAGTTTGTTGTAGTTAATATTCTTTTATTTGCATGTTTTTTCTGTATGATGTGAGGAGAGGGTAGAGAGCTACAAGTATATTTATTTGGTTCTAGGATATGTGCATTTAAATTGTTATAAATGTTGCCAAACTATTCTCCTCCCCATTTCCACTCTTATAAGCACCTCTGTTTTAAAAATTACATTGGCTGTTTGTAGATATTTATTCTTCCAGATGAATTTTAGAATTCTAATATCAAATTTTTAAGTTCCATAAACAAGTCTGCTGAGGTGTCACTATTTTAAAAGCCTCAACTTTTACTGTTCTCGAGCACGGATCTTAGGCTTTGGGATAAAAGCGAGTTGCCATCCTCTGAGTGTTTCATGTGCTTTTACATTTCTGGGCATTTGCACAGGCTATGCCCTTAGCTGCAAATACCATTCCCCCCGCCCCCACCCCCAACTGTGTCCCGGTTCTAGAAAACCCAGTTCAAGTGTCCCCTCTCCAAGTTTGTGAAGTTGTCTTGACTTCCCTCCCCCAAAACTCCTCCTGAGTCGCACCCCCTCCCTGTGCTGTCTTGGCTTCCCAAGAACACCTCTCCTGGGTGCTTCACTTGATTGTCACAACCACCAGCCCTTGACCTCCTGAGGAATGGGGACTGAAACTCTCAGAAGAGCACCTGGTTCACAAATTCATTGTCCCAACAAATATTGATTGGACAAATGCTAAATTCTAGGATTGTTCTAAGCACTGGAGTATGGCAGCAAACAAAAGAGTGTACCTTCTCCCAGGGGACTTATCGTCTAGTTGGAGGGCCAATAAAAAAAAGACAAGTACTTAATATGTTTTATGTTAAATAGATGAGTAATATGGAGAAACATGAGCCAAGGTTAAAAGAGAGAGTGGCTAAAATTAGGTGGTAAGAGAGTGCTATTTTAAGTAGGGTGATAGGGGAAATCTCTCAGAAAAACATGACAGTAGACCAGAGGAGGAGTAAGTCATGCAGATATAATGCAGAATACTGTTCCAGGCTGAAAGGACAGTGTGTGCAAAGATGCTGAGGGAGTATTCTTGGGCAGAATATAAAATGCAGATTTCGAGAGGTGACCTGGGGTTTCATGTATGGCACTGTGGGCTTTGGTGAGGATGATGGAATTTACAGAGTTAGATGGGAAGCCATTGGAGAGTTATAGTTGAAATCGGGTTTTAAAACAACATTCTTGCTAGGAAGTTAGCAGTGGTCTTTGAAGAAAATAATAACAGAAAGAAATTAAATTTTAAAATCTATTCTTTTCTTATTTTTCAGGAAACTACACTCTGAGAGTTGATTGTACACCACTGATGTACAGCTTGGTATACAACCTAACAAAAGAGGTATATAAGTTCTACGAGTGATGTTTTCTTGAGGTATTATTCTGTTAAACATTGGTGTTGTTTTATAACTTCTTGTCGTCTTTTCATATAACAAATATGACATCCCATCTCCACAGACCATCACATCTAGTAAACTGTTTATACAGATTTCTTCATTTCTCACCACACCACTGTGAGGTAGCCCATGAGTAGCATCATGTCTACCATCTCCATTCTTAAAACAGTGAAACTGAGCTCAAAGAACACTGGCCACCAAAGTCACACATAACTTGTACAGTAGCCGAACCAAGACTTGGTCCTATGGCTCAACTCCTTAATTTAAAAACTTGTTCATACTCTTCAGTGATACCAATTAATTCGGGACACAGGAATCATTAAATGTTCTAATTGATTGAGAAAGAATATTCATAAGAATACCAGGTGCTGGCTTCCAGGAACAGAGGCTAGATGAGACCACAATTACATTTTTTCAGATAGAGATTATAAATAAAATTTAAATGCCATTAAGCTTTGGTTTCAAAAGAATGGAATGGAGGAGTGACCAAGATGACTGACTAGAAGCAGCTATGGTGTGTGGCTCTCACAAAGAGAAAGGGAAGGGGCAAGTAAATATAGCACCTTCAACTGAAACGAACAGGTACTCTCATTGGGACTAATCAAGGAAACAACCCAACCAAAGGAGAATGGAGAAAAGCAAGGCAGGACAACAGCCCACCTGGAAATGACACAGAGTCAAGGGAACCTCCCCCATCCAGGAAAATGATGAGTGAATGTGCAACCCCAAGAAACCATGCTTTTTCCATGGATCTTTGCAGCCCTTAGGTCAGCAGATACCCTTGTGAACCCACCCCACCAGGGCCTTCAGTCTGACACACAGCTGCATGGAGTCTTAGCAGAACAGCCACTCAGGCATGCATGGAGACACAGGAGCTTTAGATACTCCAGCTTTCCAGGCTTCATGGCAAAAGTAGCTGCAACTCCAGCAAAGCAGGAGGTTAGACACTCATACATACCCATAAAAAAGAGGCTGAATTCAGGGGCCTGAGCCACGATGGTCTGCAAGCCCCACTTCTACAGCATCTCACAGGATAAGACCCATGGGCTTGGATTTCCAGCCAGCCACTTGTAGCAGTGTTGCATCTACCTGGGAAAGAGCTCTTGGGTGGTAGGGGGAGCGGGGAGTAGGAATAGTGGGGTGGGCTGCCATCTTTGCTGTTTGGGTGGCTTAACCATTCCAACCATTAGGGTTTGGAGAGCCCAAGATGACTAGGGGTGGAAGCAGTACCCCAGCACAGCACAGAGGCCCCACAAAAATGTGGCCAGATTGCTTTATAAAGCAGGTCCCCAACTGTGTTCCTCATCAATGGGTGGAGCCTCCCAACCAGGGTTTCTGGCTACCCCTGCTGGTGTTCTCTGGCTGAGAGAGGTTTTAGGACAGCCTGGGGTGGAGCTCCCAGGAGGAGCAGACTGCCATCTTTGCTATTTGGGTGACTTAGCCATTCCAGGTTTCAGACTTCAGAGTGTCCAAGACAACCAAGGGCTGAAGTGGACCCCCACCACAGCATAGTTGCTCTACAAAAACGTGGCTAGACTACTTTTTTAACTGGGTCCCTGATCCTTTTCCTCTTGTCTGGGTAAGACCTCCCAATGGGGTCTCCAGCAACCTCCTACAGGTCTGTTCAGGCCAGCAACATGTCTATGACTCCCTGGGATGGAGGTCCCAGAGTAAGAAGCAGGCTGCATTCTTTGCTGTTTCACAGCCTTCACTGATGATTCTTCAGGTACTGTAAAATCTAAGGCAACTAGGGATTGGAGTCAAATCCCCAGCACAACACAGCAGCCCTGCAGAAAAGTGGCTAGACTGTTTAAAAAAGAAAAGAAAAGAAAAAGCTCCATCCAAAGGTCACCAACCTCAAAGATTGAAGGCAGATGAGCCCACAGAGATGAGAAAGGATCAGTCCAGGAACACTGAAAACTCAAAAGGCCAGAGTGCCCTCTTTCCTACAAATGACTGCATCATTTCTCCAGCAAGGGTTCAGAACCAGGTTGAGGTGCCTGAAATGACGGAAATAGAATTCAAAATATGGATAGGAACAAAGTTTACTGAGCTAAAGGAGTGTGTTATAACCCAATTCGAGGAAGTTAAAATTCATGTTAAAATATTGCAGGAACTGACAGTAAAAAAAAGCCAGTATAGAAAAGAATAGAGCTGAAAAACACACTACAGCAACTTCACAATGCAATCACAAGTATTAATAGCAGTGTAGACCAAGTGAAGGAAAGAATCTTAGAGCTTGAAGACTGTTTTTCTGAAATAATACAGGCAGGCAAGAATAGAGAAAAAGCAATGAACAAAACTTCCAAGGAATGTATGATTATGTAAAGAGACCGAATCTGTGACTGATTGGTGTAAATGAAAGAGATGGGAAGAATGGAACCAGCTTGGAAAACATATTTCAGGACATAATCCATGAGAACTTTCCCAACATAGCTAGACAGGCCAACACTCAAATTCAGGAAATGCAGAGAACGTCAGTAAGATACTCCTTGAGAAGATCATCCCCAAGACACACAATCATCAGATTCTCCAAGGACAAAATGAAAGAAAAAATGTTAAAGGCAGCCGGAGGGAAAGGTCAGGTCACCTACAAAGGGAAGCCCATCAGACTAACAGTGGACCTCTCAGCTGAAACCCTACAAGCCAGAAGAGATTGGGGGCCAATGTTCAACATTCTTAGAAAAAAGAAATTCCAATCCAAAAATTCATATCCGACCACATTAAGCTTTATAAGTAGAGGAGAAATAAGATTCGTTTAAGAAAAGCAAATGCTGAGGGGATTTGTTACCACCAGACCTGTCTTACAGGAGTTCTTGACAGAAGCACTAAATATGGAAAGGAAAGACTGTTGCCAGTCACAACAAAAACACACCGAAGTACACAGACCAGTGAGACTATAAAGCAATCACATAAGTCTGCAAAATAACCAGCTAACATCATGATGACAGGTTCGAATCCAAACATATCAATGCTAATCTTATATGTAAATGGGCTAAATACACCAGTTAAAAGGCACAGAGTGGCAAGCTGGATAAAGAACCAGGACCTATTGGTATCCTGTCTTCAAGAGACCCATCTCACATGCAATGACACACATAGATCAAAATAAATAGATGAAGGAAAATCTACCAAGCAAATAGAAAACAGAAAAATGCAGGGGTTGCAATTTTAGTTTCCGACAAAACAGACTTTAAACCAACAAAGATGAAAAAGGACAAAGAAGGGCATTACATAATGGTAAAGGCTTCAATTCAACAAGAAGAGCTAACTGTCCTAAATATATATGCACATAACACAGGAGCACCTAGATTCATAAGGCAAGTTCTTAGAGACCTTCAAAGAAACTTAGACTCCCACACAATAATAGTGGTAGACATTAATGGCCTACTGAAAATAGTAATTAATTTTCAAGACATAAAATTAACAAAGATATTCAGGACCAGAACTGAGTACTTGATCAAATGGACCTGATAGATATCTACAAAGTTCTCCACCCAGAAACAACAGAATATACATTCTTCTCATCAGCCCATGGCACTTACTCTAAAATTGATCACATAATTGGAAGTAAAACACTCCTCAGCAAAAGCAAAAGAATGGAAATTAAAAACATCTCTTGTACCGCCATGCAATCAAATTCAAAATCAAGAGTAAGAAATTCATTCAAAACTATGCAATTCTATGGAAATTGGATAACCTGCTCCTGAATGACTTGTGGGTATATAATGAGATAAAAGCAGGAATCAAGAAGTTCTTTGAAACTAATGAGAACAAAGATATGACATACCAGAATTTCTGGGACACAGCTAAGGCAGAATTAAAAGGGAAATGTATAGCACTAGATGACCACATTAAAAGTTAGAAGTATCTGGTCAGGCGCGGTGGCTCATGCCTGTAATCCCAGCACTTTGGGAGACCGAGGAGGGCGGATCACAAGGTCAGGAGATCAAGATCATCCCGACTAACATGGTGAAACCTCCTCTCTACTAAAAATACAAAAAACTAGCCAAATGTGGTGTGGTGGCACGTGCCTGTAGTCCCAGCTACTCGGGAGGCTAAGGCAGGAGAATCATTTGAACCTGGGAGGTGGAGGTTGCAGTGAGCTAAGATCATGCCACTGCACTCCAGCCTGGGCAACAGAGCAAGACTCCGTCTCAAAAAAAAAAAAAAAAAAAAAAAGTTAGAAAGATCTCAAGTTAACAACCTAATATCAAAACTAAGTGTACTAGAGAACAAAAGCAAACAAACCCCAAAGCTAGCAGAAGACAAGAAATAACCAAGATCACAGCTGAACTGAAGGTAGTAAAGACATGAAAAACCCTTCAAAATATTAATGAATCCAGGAGCTGATTTTTTGAGAAAAAATTAATAAAATAGAGTGATAGCTAGACTAATAAAGAAGAAAAGAGATAAGATTCAAATAAACACACTCAGAAATGATAAGGGGGAATATTCCCACTGACCCCACAGAAATACAAACATCAGAGAATGTTATAAACACCTCTATGCACATAAACTAAAAAATCTAGAAGAAATAGAAATTAGCTGAGTGTGGTGGTAGGTACCTGTAATCCCAGCTGGTAGGGAGGCTGAGGCAGGAGACTTGGGTGAACCCGGGAGGCAGAGGTTTCAATGAGCCAAGATGGCGCCATTGCACTATAGCCCAGGCGACAGTGCAAGACTCCGTCTCAAAAACAAAAAAAAGAAGAAGAAAAAGAAAAAAAGGGATAAATTTCTGGACACATACACCCTCCCAAGGCTGAACCAGAAAGAAATTGAATCCCTCAACAAACCAATCGTGAGTTCTGAAACTGAGGCAGTAATAAATAGCCTTCCAACCAAAAAAAGCCGAGGAACAAATGGATTCACAGCTGAATTCTACCAGAGGTACAAAGAACGGCTGGTACTATTTCTATTGAAACTATTTCAAAATAATTAGGAGGAGAGACTCCTCCCTAACTAATTCTATGAGACCAGCATCATCCCAAAACCAAAACTTGGCACATACAAAAACAACAAAAAAAATTGAGGCCAATATCTTTGATGAACACTGATGCAAAAATCCTCAACAAAATACTGGCAAACTGAATCCAGCAGCACATTAAAAAGCTTATCCACCACAATCAAGTAGGTTTCATCCCAGGGATGCAAGGTTGATTCAACATATGCAAATCAATAAATGTGATTAATCACATAGGCAGAACTAGAAACAAAAACCACATGATTATCTCAATAAACTCAATCAAACTATACTATGAGGCTACAGTAACCAAAACACTATGGCACTGGTACAAGAACAGACATTGCAGTTTATTATATATTGTTGAATAACTTTGGCAACTCTACTGACAGGAAACAATATTAAATTGAATACTTTCCCTTAACCAGCTTGCTTCTTTTTATTTTCTTTGTTGTGAGAGGATAAATTGTTTTGATTGTAGTATCTTTTGATTCAAAGAAATAGACAAAAAGATCATACACTATGCCATTCGTCTAAAGACAGTGGCTTGGTATGACCTTGGTGTAGCATGTTTATGTTATGCACTTCATACATTTATTTTTATAATATAGTTCACCTATATATAATAACATGAGTATTTTCCCATTTCTCAGAAACTTACAATTCTTGATGACTGCTAATGTATGGATAGCATCCCTTGTTTTTGCTGAATTCTGGCTTATTCACTTCTGGTTAATGGACATCTAGTTTTCAAAATATCTGATTTATAAGTATTCCCTTTTTTCTTTTAATTTGTGTAGCTGGAAAGCCCTGATGAAGGCTTTGAAGGCAAATCTCTTTATGAAAGTTGGACTAAAAAAAGTCCTTCCCCCGAGATAAGTGGCATGCCCAGGTAAACAAATGAATGAAATTTCCACTGAATTCAGTGTGGGATTGTTTTGAAAATGAAAGCGTATTTTCTTTCAATTATTAAGTGAAAAAATTAACTTTAAAAATGGTCTAAAATCTGATAAAGGAAAAGCATTCCTTTGGTTCACGAATAAAATATTACTGTGTGTTTTGTAGTTAAATGTGCAGGACATCAAAACGTGATTTCTCTTTAGAATATGTAATATATACATATGGAACATTTCAACAGATTATATAGTTTGGTCATTTTTTATATGAAATGTGTGGGATGAGAAGTATTTTGGACTTTGGATTTTTTTAAAGATTTTGGAATATTTGCATTATACCTACTGGTTGAACATCCCTAATCTGAAAATTCGTAATCTGAAATGCTTCAGTTAGCATTTCCTTTCAGTGTCATGTAGGTGCTTAAAAACTTTTGGATTTTGCAGCATTTTAAAAAATTTTCTTATCTTTAATTTTTGTGAGTATGTAGTAGGTGTATTTATTTTTGGGGTGCATGAGGTATTTTGATACAGATTTTGGATTTTTGGATAAGGGATGCTCAACCCCTGATAGAGATAATGGTGAAAAGTAATTCTCATTTTTTTCTGTCACCTCATCACCTTGTAATTATTCTTTTTCTGAATATCGTATAGTTAACAAATATTTTTCTTACTGTAATAAAAATGCAAGCATCACTTCAACATTGGTTGTATCTTCATAAGCAAGGGAAGAAGAATAAATATCTCAGTACTCTGAGTTTATCGATGTCAACAGCACAAATCATTTATATTATAAAGGACAAAATTTATGTCCAAATTATCTGAAAAGTATTTGTTTTTCACTCTATTATGTACAACAGATAAAGATGATAAATGGAATGAAATAATCTTAAGGAAAACATTTTCCAGCTTCAGAAACCTTTAACAAAATGTGACATAAAATAGTCATTCCTACACAAAATAGTCTCATAGAAGGAGATATTTTTTGATGAAAATTAACATTCTTTTCATGTTTTTGCTGCATGTCTAAATCTGTATGTTTAAAATTACATTTATAGTAGAATGGAGTTTAGTTTAATGAACATGTAATCTGTACTTAATGAACAAATTACTTTGAAATAATTCTGGTGTTTTATCTCTAAAAGGATAAGCAAATTGGGATCTGGAAATGATTTTGAGGTGTTCTTCCAACGACTTGGAATTGCCTCAGGCAGAGCACGGTATACTAAAAATTGGGTAAGTGAATCTAAATTATTCAAGATTATTTATGAATATATTTTAACTAAACAAATAATTCTGACTCCAAAAAGTGACTCAAACGTTAGTTGAAAGCAGAGAGAAGTCTCAATGGTTGACAGTATCGCTACTACATAGGGTAACTCCTGTATCTGGTATTCCTACCCTAAATTCAAGTGTCAGTTGGTATCAGTACTCATGTCTGCAAATGTGAACTTCCATTTACTCCCTTAAACATATTTTCTGTTTCATTTGGTGGCACTGCATTCACTCAGTCATTTAAGTTGAAAATGTAGGAATTGTCTTTGATTTCACCCTCCTCCTTATTCAAAATTAATCAGTATCTCCCCATTATCATTCAAAATTAATCACTGTATTTGAATTTCCATCTCTTACTATATCTCTAATTATTAAACAAATAACATCATTAAACAAATGAAAAATTTGTTTAATAAAGAACAGACTATATATATTAGTCTGTTCTCCTGCTCCTAATAAAGACATACCCAAGACTGGGTCATTTACAAGGGAAATATGTTTAATTGACTCACAGTTTCATATGGCTGGGGAGGCCTCACAATCTTGGCTGAAGGCGAATGAGGAGCAAAGTTACATGTTACATGGCAGCACACAAGAGAGCAGGTGCAGGGGAACTTCCCTTTATAAAACCATTAGATCGCATGAGACTTATTCACTGTCAGGAGAGCAGGGCAGGAAAACGTGTCCCGCATGATTCAGTTACCTCCCACCAGGTCTCTCCCATGACACGTGGGGATTATCATAATTCAAGGTGAGATTTGGGTAGGGACACAGAGCCAAACCATATCAGTATAATACACTTTGAACGTGTAAAAGTCATGATTCCTTTTCTTCTGTTGTAGATTTTATATATATATATATATATACACACACACACACACATACACACATATGGTTTTCATTTTCTTCAAAGTAAAATGGGTACATAGTTTATAAAATGTCAAGTAGTTTTATAAGAACACTGGTTTATAATTAAAAACAGTTGTTTCTTATTTCCATTTCATATTCATACCATCTCTGATTTCTGTTCATCAGATGAAACCTTTGTCAGCTTTTATGATACATCCATGTTTATAAGTAATATTTTAATCCTGATACGTCTTCATTTTTAAATTTTATGCTATAAAGAAAAATCATTCTCACACTTATAAAAATGGTAAGGAAGAGTTCATTCAAAACTGTTCCAATAAGAATATTGCAATAATAAGAGATTTAGCTCAATTCCAAATACAGAAAAGACATTTGGCGATTTAGAGTTGACATTAAGTTTCTGTAAGTGTTTCCTCACAGGCTATTCTTCCCAGATGGAAAATCTTCAATCTCCTGTCTGTGAGGTAGGAAGTTAGGCAGAGTTATATGGGAGCTGATAGTGAGGATAAATATTAATATTGTCTACATTTTACTATGAAAAAAATTACAACAAATAAAATCAAATGACCACCTAAAGTTTTTGGTAGTAAGTCCTGAAGCCTAGATTCAAACCCTGGCAGGGAAATTCCAGAATCCCAGTCTCTTCAACACATCAGTACATAAAATGTCCTTTTATGTTAATAATAAAAAATAAGCATCTTAATGGTCGAAAGTGATAAACTAGCAATTCACAGTTTGAAAAGTCCTTCCTTCTACTTATACTTTTGGTTTTCCTGACACCTGTCTGGGCCTCCCTTCTCTCTCCTTAGTGAGACTTTAGATCCACTACTGCACCCCTCACCACTCAGACTCTCCAGCCTTCAGCACACTGTTTGTCAGACAATCATTTATCCAAGGAATTTTAGTGATTAAACAATTTAGTGTCTTCTCCTATATAATATTGTGTAATACTTATTTACTTGCCTTTAACAATTCTGTCTTATTTTTACCCAAATGCAAGATTGTCTTGTCTTGTTTTTTCAGATTCTTAAAACATGAATCTAAGAATGCAATCTTCTGCATTCTTAGAGACAAACCTGTTTGGTCCCTTTGAAATATTTTTTAAATAATATTTGTTATATCATATACACATATTTTAATTGGTACAAACTTGGAGTGTGTTTACGTATCATAATATTAGCTGTTTAGGAAGTAACTTATTGAGATGCTTAAGTACTTTCCTTGATCCATCACTGACCAATCTTACTAATACTAATAGTAAATATTGGTGCTAATCATTTTATTGTAAGCTATCCTATAAGTGATATGTTTTGTTATTTTTTCCGTAGGAAACAAACAAATTCAGCAGCTATCCACTGTATCACAGTGTCTATGAAACATTTGAGTTGGTGGAAAAGTTTTATGATCCAATGTTTAAATATCACCTCACTGTGGCCCAGGTTCGAGGAGGGATGGTGTTTGAACTAGCCAATTCCGTAGTGCTCCCTTTTGATTGTCGAGATTATGCTATAGTTTTAAGAAAGTATGCTGACAAAATCTACAATATTTCTATGAAACATCCACAGGAAATGAAGACATACAGTGTATCATTTGGTATGTTACCCTTCCTTTTTCAAATTCCTCATCTGTATGGTTCTATTAATCTCCAAAATATAATGGGCTATCTTAGGTCATTTATAATTGATTGCTGTTTCAAGTGATCCAGTATTCTGTTTATGTCTATAAACGTATTTTTCATTTTATGGATGCTCATATCTTATAATATAAAAATATAAATACCTTGTAAAACACAAAAGATGATGGCTTCTATACTGTTCCTTTTCTTGAACTTTGGACCAATGCCATTAGAAATTACGTTCTTTAAGCATTTGATGATCCCAATTTCTATTTCAGATTCACTTTTTTCTGCAGTAAAGAATTTTACAGAAATTGCTTCCAAGTTCAGTGAGAGACTCCAGGACTTTGACAAAAGCAAGTACGTTCTATATCTATATCTATCTATATCTGTGTCTATATCTACACACACATACATATATTTAAAAGGAAAGTAACATCGCTGTTGCTGAACTAGCTTTGGGAATTTCTTGCTGTTTTCTTCTTTTTAAATTTGTTTTACTTTAAGTTCTGGGATACATGTGCAGAACGTGCAGCTTGTTACATAGGTAGACAAGTGCCATTTCCTGCTGCTTTCTGTCTTTCCACTCTAGCACATCCTATGTAGGGCTGCCCTATCTCAAAAGACTTGCTTTTGACATTTGGAGTGGCAATTGTGCTGCTGCGAAATGTCGGTCCCTCCCTCCTGCCATTTGATCAGTTACAATATACTCTGCTTAACAATGAAGGGCCTTCACTGTGTGACCCCAGCTGTTTCCAGTTTTATTTCTTGTTTTTTCAGTATCTGTACATCATAACTCAGCCAGACTATTTAATTTTCAAAGCGTGATTTCTTTCTGCCTCTTTTTTTTATTTCATTACCTCCACATAGAGCTCCTTATTTCCACTTCCATCCGGCAAAATTCTATTTATCCAGAATAGCAAATATTGTGAAGTCATTAATTTTGGAAATGTTAAACATTTAGGATTAATTCTGTGTAAGATTATGCAAGTACAACACAATTTGAACAAAATTTTAAGATGGAAGGAAAAATACTTGGTGAGAATACTAAGGTAATTTTTTTAAAATAGAATTTTGAGGGCACAGATATGTGTATTAAATATAGTATCATGATGTAAGTATCAAATCCCTAGGACCTGATGTAAGGACATATAAAAAGATCAGAGTAGATGATGTAGAAATAGGCTCAGTGATATATAAGGAAGTATTAGTAATAAACGATACAGCAAAAATCAATTGGGAAAGATTAGTCAATCATAACATTGTATAAACTATGTTAGTACCTGCTATAAAATTAAATTCAGAATCACACTTCACATTGTGTGCTCACATAAACAACAGCTGTAAAGAATTTTTTAGTAAAAATGAAAATTTCTTGAAAGACAGATGCCAAGTTTAGAAGCAGTGGGGAAATGATGCAATCATATTTGAGACCATTAAAATGGTTCAGAATATGAAAATTAATATTCAAAAGAAAAGTTAAGAAAGTTGAAAACTTATTTTCTAGCACAAATGGAGAGTAATATATACATTATAAAAATATTTTTTGAAAATTAATTTAAATAGTCCAAAAGAACAAACTGAAAATATCAGTAAGAAACAAGGCAAATAATTATAAAAATGTTGTCAAGATACACCTGTAAAGAAACATAGCAAAATATTGCAGTTCACTAATGCATAATTCAGAAATACAAATGAAAGTAATGTGACATTATTTTTATAACACAGTAATAACAATTTAAACCTTGGTTGTTCCCACTGCTGGTATACTGAAGCATATGGTCTCCATGCTTTTCTGATAGCATTATGAATTATTTTAGCTTTTTTGAAAAAGATAGATACATATTGGTAATGCGTTCAAGAACTGTCACAGAGTCCTGTGCTTTGACATAGGTATTCCATTTCTTGAATTATTTCTTAGGAAAAAGTCTCTGTTTTGGAAAAGAAAGATGCCCGGAGAAAGATTTGAAGTATAAAATTACAATAGCAAGTAATTCAAAATAACCCAATGCCTAAGAGAAGAGAAATTACTAAAAAAATTGATATTCACCAATGTGAACATTTTATAATCCTTAAAATGGATTATTAGAAATACAATATAATAGAAGATACTTAGAATAAAATATGAAGTAAGCAAAAAGTTTATAAAATTGTAAATAGAGTTTGATTAATTTTTATTTAACAAATATAGGAAAAACTTAAAGGGAATTAATGAATTATTTTAATAATTGTGTTATCCTCAAGGAATATTGGAAGAATTGTTTTCCTATTATTTTCAATTCTTTATAATTTTTATATGTGGGTAAAAAAGTCAACAATGAGAAATACATTTTAAGGAGATCCCAAACACCATGTATTCTATAAAATTGGTTTTCTTTTTGTATTTAAAAGAAAAAATATTTTCTCCCTCTGGCAAAATGCCTTATGGTTTGAATTCTGGTTTGTTTAGGACACTTATTGTTTAGCACACTCAGCTTCCCCTTCCTTTAGTATTTCTACAGTTGTTTTATTTTCTCTAAATGATAGTAAAGATCCATTCTGTTCCCTATATATTTACAAACTCTGAAACACCTGCACAGTGCATTGCACATAATAATAGTAAATTCTAACTAAGTAAATTAAACTGAATGTTGAATTTCTCAACCAAAACTTTGAAATCTAAGGAAGAGACATGTCTTCATCCTGCTTTTCTTGTATTACTTCTTGCCCCATCAAAGAATATAAGATGTTGACACAGGATACAGAGAAAGAGAAGTGTGTGTGTGTGTGTGTGCGCACGCACATGTGTGCATTTACATGTGTGTAGCCACATGAGTTTTTGTACTTGTAGTAATGCTTTGTGAATTTGATTCCGAAACCCATAGCATCTTATTGAAATTATCCTTCATTCGATTGTCTCAACTGTTTATGGGAGCTGCTAATAGGTACTCTGTGTTTAATTTACCTTTATACTATCACAGAATCTGAATTCATGATGCTAAATACATAAATATTAAAAATAGCTCAAATCCAAATTATGGGGATTTAAGTTGTTCCTGTTTTCCTTTTGTCAGCAAGGTGCAGTTGAAAGAACAATACCGACCTCCTATTTCACTCTAAAACTTTCTAGTGTGAATTTAGGCAAGTTATTTAACTCATGACCCTTTGTTATCTCATCTACAAAATGGGGCTATTACCCTGCCCACCTTGCAGAATCGCTCTGAAAATTAAAAATCACATTTTGTATAGACATTCAGAACAGTAATTGGCACATAGGAAATGATCACTAAATGCTAACTGTTAGTAAAACAAAATTATAAAAAGCAAAAGATAAATTAATGAATAAGATGATTTATGCTTTCTTATTGTAATGATTTTTTTCTCATTAGTTAATTAAATTGTGAAAGAATTGGTATATTAAATTCAGTAACTCATTGTTGATGTATTCAGGGCTTGCTGATAAGCTTTCAATTATATTGAATCATTCTTGCTACAATAACAACCTCAATACTCATTTTGGAATGTAAGTTCTGTAAAAGCAGGGAGTGTTTGATACATAGGAGGTATCCAAATATTGTTAAAAGACTGAAGTAATCATCATCTCTTGTGTTCATAATAGGTTTAGCTTTAAAAATGAAAGGAATATTGTTAATTATCACTTGGTAAATAATTCTAATTTGCCAGGCATCTTACTAAACATTAGCAGGTCATCTTATTTTAATATTGATATTACTTCAGTGAGTAGATTACTAGGATACCTAAGGTGAAGAAAATCTTGCCTTGTTATACCAATGTAAATAAAAATCACTATTATTTTTTCCATTGGCACATACAGCTGTTTCTGTGCTTTTATAAGCCTGAGCAGTATAGTATTTTATAGGATTTTAAAAATGTGATAGCTATGTATTTTATTTTTCTTAATTTGCATATTACAGAATGTTAAAATTTGCAATTTACATTTGAACAACAGTGATTTGAACTGCACAGGTCCACTTATACATGAATTCTTTTTTCCATTAATACAGTGAGCCCTCTCTATCCATAGATTTCATATTAGCAAGCAAACGCAGATGGAAAATTCAGTATTATTCACTGTAATCCCAGGTACTCAGGAAGCTGAGGCAGGGGGATTGCTTGAGCCCAGGAGTTTGAGACTATAGTGAGCTATGATCAAGCCACTGCACTCCAGCCTGGGCAACAGAACAAGACTCCATCTCTTAAGGAAACAAAATAAAATACAGTATTGATGGATTAAAACCCACATATATGGAGGGCTGACTATTCTTGTTATTTTTAAATATGGAAAACTTTGTATTTTGCCAAATTAAATCTTTTATTTTCAAACTTACATTTGAAAATATTAGCATTGCATACAGAAAATGATTTTGTTAAATATCTAAAAGTAGGATGGACATGAATCTAGAACAAAAGTATTTTAAGTAAGTAAATTCATTTATATGGAAAAAAATCTCAACAATCATCTTTCTTCTAGCTTTGATATATTAGAACTTTTATCACCAAATGATGCTTACTCTGCAAGCTTGAATCTGAGAACCTCAGATGTAGCTAATGAGAAACTAAGGAAAAACATAAAGTAAGATAATTATAGAAACTTAAAAAACAACTGTTACATTCCGTTTGGACTACTAGCCATGTGCTCCATAAACATTTTCTATTTTATATAATTGCCTATCTCATTGTCTTAACAATATGAAGACTAAGATGTCAAAGAGGGATTAAGCATGTGGTAAGAGTTCTACTGGGGGCAACTAACCCAAGGGAGATCAGATGTGGCTTCAGATTCCACATACACAGCTACGTTTCCTCATTGAGGCAGAACAAGTTAATCCAGAAAGTCATATCAGACTCCAAGAATGCTGTACTTAAACCATTCTGAAAATCACTTGAAATGATACAATTTTAAGTAACTTTTAGACTTAAATCTGGATCATTCTACCAAGAGATCAATTTAATTTGTCTGATAGTTTGTTCATTCTCACCCTGTTAATTCCACAGAGGAGGAGGGCCCACTTTTCATATACATGTGTCTTCCTTGCAGGACTTGAGTATGCACAAATTTTGGTGTAGGGGGTGGTCCTAGAAGCAATTCCTGGAGATAACTAAATTCAGTTTTGTTCTGAAATTTTTATTTTCTGCATAGAAATATATTTTCATGAAGTTATAATTATATTCATTTTCTTTCTCAGCCCAATATTGTTAAGAATGATGAATGATCAACTCATGTTTCTGGAAAGAGCATTTATTGATCCATTAGGGTTACCAGACAGACCTTTTTATAGGTAAGAAAAGAAAATATGACTCCTTTCTATAATATCACTGTTTCTAGTAATTATTTTTATTTTTTTCATTGTGGAAAAATATTGTAGTTGATTTCTTGCAAGCAAATGGAAAATTTCAAAATATATGTAGGAAGTTATAGTGGTATTATTTCTTCATATAATGTAATATGATTTTTGCATATCTTTATTTTGAGTATCTTTGTTCTGATTATAACAGAATATATGTTTATTTTAGAAAATATAGAAGATTCAGAAAGCCACGGCAGAAAATAAAAATCTCTGCAATTTTATCAGAAAAATATAAAATCATGGTTATATTCTTGTGTGTATAATTTTAGTTCCTTTCCTATTTTAAATACATTTTTGCTTATGTATACACACAACCCAAACATCTCTCTATATATAATATATACAATAAGTTTATATTTATTTATTCTTTTCCCTAATGTTGATATTTAGAAATTTTATTTCCTCCTAAATCCTGACAGTTGAATTTTTTCCTGCCAAACATTGACTGTCCCCAGGTTGATTTTCTAAATATTGCAGAATGAGATAGATCACTGGACAGCCAGAAATGGCCCTAACTTTCTTTCTAGGGATTATAAAAGGTTCTGGTGTGGTAGTAAGAGCATCTTCAAACAGGTTGACTGGATCACCAATGGCAGTATATTTTTATCCATCCCCCGCCCCCTTTTTTTTCCCTAAGAGACAGGGTCTCACTCTGTCTCCCAGGCTAGAGTTCAGTTGTGCAGTTGTAGCTCACCGCAGCCTCAGACTTTTGGGCTCAAGCAATCTTCCCACAGCAGCTTCCCCGGAAGCTAGGACAACAGACACATGCCACCATGTCCAGCTAATATGTGTACTTTGGTTTGTAGAGACAAGGTGTCCCTATGTTGCACAGGCTTGTCTAGAACTCCTGGCCTCAAGCAATCCTCCCACCTTGGCCTCCCTAATATATGGGATTACAGGCATGAGCTACTGCTTCTGGCCTCATCTACCTCTTTACTTTGGAGTTTGTCCTTCTCTTCTATGGGCTATTACATGAACGGTCTTAGCCCATTCTATAAAACATTTTCTGCCTTGGTCATGTGGAACATTACAAAATTGTTTTTGATGATTCTTCAAACTCTATGTTAAGTATTCTAACATGATAGTGTGGATTTTTAAAAAATGACAAACACAATATAGGGTTGGCTGATCACAAACAAGACTGTAATGATCACAATTGTTCTATAATGTAGGAGGTAGCATGATATATTAAAAAATCAGCACTTGTCATGTGTTTTAAGACAAATCATTTAGTTACTTGATCTCTCAGACCTCAGTTTCCTCCTCTGTGAAATACTAATATCAACTGTGTAGAGTTTATTTCTAAACATTAGAAAAATTGTAAGTAAACATTAAATACCAATACCAAGCATGATTGCTGTGGTTTCTATCATCATTGTTACTTTTGTAGCACTGAACCACTTTATTTGTTTGAAATAAAAATATAATTAATTACTATAGATTTCACATAATAGTCTTCAGAGATGATTGAACTTGGAAGTTCAGTTGACAAGTGGCTTGTTCAAATTGTTATAGGAATATGCAATCCAGGAATTGCAGAGTGCTCTTGTGTTTCTCTTGTATGTCATTTGGGCACCTGATAAACAGCAAACGATTTTATCAACAGGCATGTCATCTATGCTCCAAGCAGTCACAACAAGTATGCAGGGGAGTCATTCCCAGGAATTTATGATGCTCTGTTTGATATTGAAAGCAAAGTGGACCCTTCCCAGGCCTGGGGAGAAGTGAAGAGACAAATTTCTATTGCAGCCTTCACAGTGCAAGCAGCTGCAGAGACTTTGAGAGAAGTGGCCTAAGAGGATTCTTTAGAGAATCCATATTGAATTTGTGTGGTATGTCATTCAGAAAGAATCAGAATGGGTATATTCATAAATTTTAAAATTGGTATATTTGAAATAAAGTTGAATATTATATATAGTTATGTGGGTGTTTATATATGTGTGTGTTTATATTGTTTCTTTTATCTTGTCCCTATGGATTAAAAATTAAAAATTGAATTTCATAATTATAAGAGGTTATTCTGAAGTGGAAAAATTTAACTCAGTATTAAATCTAAGGAGAATGGCATAATACAGTAAAACTCTCATCTGGCATTATCAGGGAATCAAGTCTAATCTATTCATGTCACTTCACACGTAAGAAAACATCAGTATGTCATAGAGCACACTGGGGAATATGCACAAGACTATTCCAAGCCAGAGGCCTCACGGCCTGCCTGTCACCCAAGGCTGAGAGGATCACTATCTCAGCACACTAGTTGGGAAATGGATCAAATTACACTTTTAGTAAATGTAATCACTCTATAGTATAAGAAATAATTATTTTTTAAAATTTATATAAAAGGCTATAGTATAACACATATGTATAGTAATTAAATGAACATTTGTGAACCTAACAGCCATATGAAGAAAATAACATTTCCAATATCTTAGGATGCCCCATGCACTAATGACAGTTACGCTTTTCCATTTTCTTGAATTTTATGTTTATCTTTCCTCTGTTATTATTTATAATTGTATCACACACGGCTGTATTCCTTACATGTTTTGGCATTATGTATTTTTGAACTTTTTATAAAGACAGTCATACCATGTGTATTTCTCAGGTACTTGATTTTTTTCATTGGCTTTTAAGGGTTCAAATATATTATCACTGTGGCTGTAGTTTGCCGTATTTTGCTGATATAGAACATTCATTCACATGAGAGTAAGATTCAGGGTCCATCAAGATGAGAAAACATACAGTAATGTGAATAGGGAAAGTTAATGTAAAGAATTATTAATTGTTACAGCATTGGAGCAATGAAATATTGTCTAGTAATATGTAAAGAGAGGTCTCAAGAATATGTGATGAGCAGATATAAGGAATTGCTGTTATCTCCATGGTGAATTTGGAGCAGCCAATGAAGAGTCCCCTCACACTGTGGCGTCACTCAATGTTAAGAAGTTGCTGTGGTGTTGCCCTTGAACCTGCTTCAAATTGATACTTCAGAACTCCCCAGAAGTGTCTTCTGGGCCACTGTGTAAAGCTGTTTATGAAGAAATGTCAAGCCAGAGGGGCTTTACTACAAATTTGGCAAAGGACAGTTTCAGGAGAAGCTCTTGGCCGCTGGGTTCTCCTGGCCACCATGAACTTCAGGAAGTGGGCGCCAGAGCAGCAGCCACAGAATCTGGGCACTGGTGTCGCCCTGTATGCCCTCCATGTCAGACGCTGGAGATGTCATTTACGTTGCCAGAGTTTGCCAGGGGTGCACACAGAAAGCAGATTGGAAACCACCTTCTTGGAACGTCTCTCCAATGCCTTCTACTCACGAAGTTTAACATCATAACACATGACAAAGAACAACTATTTAATGGGCCCAGATCTATTTATGAAGACAATCAAGAGTGAGTTTGGAGTGGGTAACCCAAATTTGGATAACTGGTGAATAATAAAATGTATTTATTCATTTTCTGCTGGTATATATTTGGAATGTTTTATGTGTTTTGCTTCTGTGAGCATGTATCCTAATGCAAATATTCAAGAGATTCTCTTTCCTGACAGTATCTACCTATAGGTTGAATGTCTGTGTTGTAAAGTTTGTGCATCTTCAATTTTACAATGCCAAGCTGTTTCAAAGTGATTTTATTTATTTATATTCCCACTGGCAAAGTAATCATGTTATTCAAGATAAAAAACAAGTACGGAAGATTGTGGCATGTTAAAGAAATACAACTACTCAGTGTTACTAGAATCCAAGGGATTTGTGGGAAGAACAATCCATACATTGGGCACCAAATACAACACATAAGGCTTAGAAGACATTCAGAGGAGTGTAACTACTTTCCTGTAGTTTATCAAAAGCCCATAATAAGGTTAAGCAGGTAGGAGTATAGGCACATTTGCATTTCAGAAAGCATTCTGGTCTAGATGGATTAGAAGGGCATCAACCCAGCAAAAGATAAGAACTTTGTTTTTTGGTTTTTTGTTGTTGTTATTGTTTGTTTGTTTTTAATACAGGGTCTCACTCTGTCACCCAGGCTGGAGTCAATGGCACAATCCCAGCTCGGTGTAACCTCTTCTTCCTCAGCTCAGGCGATCCTTCAGCCTCAGACTCCCAAATAGCTGAGATTACAGGTGTACACCACCATGCCTGGCTAATTTTTGTATTTTTTGTAGAGATGGGGTTTTGCCAAGTATCCCAGGCTGGTCAAGAACTCCCTGGCTCAAAGTATCAACCTTCCTTGGCCTCCCAAAGTGGTGGGATTACAGGCAGGAGTCACCATGCCAGGTCCCAAAATATTTTCTTATGACAACAGTTGCCATGTAGACTTTATCCCCAGAAAAGATAAGACTACCCTCGTCCTTCAGGTCTCAGCTTACATGTCATCTCTTCTAGGAATACTTCCAGAGTGACTGCCCCTTCCATTATATTCCTTACTAGGCCATAAGCTCCTCAGAGACTGAGTCTCGTTTTTTATTTTGGCTTCAATCTCTATCAGTATGGAGAGTCCATAGATGGCACTCATTCTGTGAGTAATCAGAGTAGCGTGCATATGAGACTTTCTGAGACATTCTGTGCTTTGAAAATAAAAGCTACACTGCAGACTAAGATTTCCACAATGCCTTAGTTACAGGGTTTGGCTGAGCATGCTAACAGGCTTTTTGTCATGTTAGAGAGTTGGACAATATTGTAGATGTAGGATAAGGTGAATAAAACTATTCTAAAAAATGGACCGAAACCTACATAATACTTGAAAGCTTTGTGAACTTTCAATCGATTCTGCAAGCATGCAATAAGCATCCCCCCAAATTATTATATGTAATTCGGTGGCTTAGGAACATACTTTGGCAACATATTTAATGTCACTGTCATTCATAAGAGGTATTGCAATGATAGGAACACAATTGTTTTTGTTTTTGTTTTTGTTTTGAGACAGGGTCTCTCTGTCACCTAGGCTGGAGTGCATTGGAGCGATCTAGGCTCACTGCAACCTCTGCCTCCTGGGTTCAAGTGATTCTTCTCCCTCAGCCTCCTGAGTAACTGGAATTATAGGCACCCACAGCCATGCCCAGATAATTTTTTTGTATTTTTAATAGAGACAGGTTTTCACTAGATTGGCCAGGCTGATCTCGAACTCCTGATCTCAGGTGATCCAACTGCGTCCACCTCCCAAAGTGCTGGGATTACAGGTGGGAGTCACCTCGCCTGACCAGGAATAGAGTTTTTAGAGACAGACTGCCTGGGGTCCAACCCTAGTTCTCCCACTTACTTACAGTATGGCTATGGGCAAATTATTAAAGCTTTCTGTTATTAAGAAAGTCAATGGTAGCTTGATGGAGATAGCATTGAATCTATACATTACTTTGGGCAGTATGACCTTTTTCACAATATTGAGTCTTCCTATCGATGAACATGGGATGTTTTTCCATTTGTTTGTGTCCTCTCTTATTTCCTTGAGCAGTGGTTTGTAGTTTTCCTCGAAGAGTTCCTTCACATCCCTTGTAAGTTGCATTCCCAGGTATTTTTTTCTCTTTGTAGCAATTGTGAATGGGAGTTTACTCATGATTTGGCTCTCTGTTTGTCTATTTTTGGTGTATAGGAATGTTAGTGATTTTTGCACATTGATTTTGTATCCTGAGACTTTGCTGAAGTTGCTTATCAGCTTAAGGAGATTTTGGGCTGAGACGATGGGGTTTTCTAACTGTATAATCACTTCATCTGCAAACAGGGACAATTTTACTTCCTGTTTTCCTATTTGAATGTCCTTTTATTTCTTTCTTTTGTCTGATTGCCCTGGCCAGAATTTCTAATACTATGATGAATTAGAGGAATGAGAGAGGGCATCCTTGTGCCAGTTTTCAAAGGGAATGCTTCAAGTTTTGCCCATTCAGTAAGATATTGTCTGCGGGTTTGTCATAAATAGCTCTTATTATTTTGAGATATCTTCCATCAATACCTAGTTTATTGGGTGTTTTTAGCATGAAGAAGTGTTGAATTTTATCAAAAGCCTTTTCTGCATCTATTGAGATAATCATGTAATTTTTGTCATTGGTTCTGTATATGTGATGTATTATGTTTATTGATTTGTGTGTATTGAACCAGACTTGGATCCCAGGGATGAAACCAACTTGATCATGGTGGATAAGCCTTTTAATGTGCTGCTGGATTTGGTTTGCCAGTATTTTATTGAGGATTTTCACACTGATGTTCACGTTCATGTTTGGCCTGAAATTTTCTTTTTGTGTGTGTGTGTGTGTGTCTGCCAGGTTTTGGTATCAGGATGATGTTGACCTCATAAAATGAGTTAGGGAAGAGTCCCCCTTTTTCTATTGTTTGGAATAGTTTTAGAAGGAATGGTAACAACTCCTCTTTGTACCTCTGGTAGAATTCAGACGTGAATCTATCTGGTCCTGGGCTTTTTTTTTTTGGTTGGTAGGCTATTAACTACTGCCTCAATTTCAGAACTTTTTATGGGTCTATTCAGGGATTCCACTTCTTCCTGATTTAGTCTTGGGAGGGTGTATGTGTCCAGGAATTTATAAATTTCTTCTAGATTTTCTAGTTTATTTGCGTAGAGGTGTTTACCGTATTCTCTGATGGTAGTTTGTATTTCTGTGGGATCAGTGGTGATATCCCCTTTATCATTTTTTATTGTGTCTATTTGATTCTTCTCTCTTTTCCTCTTTATTAGTCTGGCTAGCAGTCTATCTACTTTGTTAATCTTTTCAAAAAACAGCTCTTGGATTCATTGATTTTTCTGAAGCGTTTTTCATGTCTCGATCTCCTTTAGTTCTGCTCTGATCTTAGTTATTTTGTCTTCTGCTAGCTTTTGAATTTGTTTGCTCTTGCTTCTCTAGGTCTTTTAATTGTGATGTTAGGGTATTGATCAATTTTGGATCTTTTCCACTTTCTCATATGGCCAATTAGTGCTATA